ACTACATGGGAGTCCCGCAACATAGCCATTATGCCAGTTGCTGGTCCTAATTAACATAGGTTCTTTAAAGCAAGCCTGAAAATGCCCCAGAATCACTATTCAATAAATCCAACAGCACACACACTCAGGCAGACACCTCCTGGAGATCAGAGATTTAGTGGCTTTGAGACATGTGCTTTCTCTCTTTTTTTAAAAAAATAAGTATTTATTTAATTTTATTTATCATTATTGTTACTTTTTAATTTGCTACAGGGCATGTGTGCTTATCAGAGAGAGACAGAGAGAGAGAGATTGAGACAGGAAAAATGAGAAAGAAAGCCACCAGGTTCGGGACTTGAACTGTGGGCAGCCATGTGTGAGTCCAACGCCTTAACCACCATGCCACCTGCTGGCCCCTGCTTTCTCTCTTGTTGTCCTCAGTGAGACCAGCAGTTTGCATATGAATCTCAAAAGCCTAGTAATTCAGGGGAACCAGCAGTTAGCGTAATGGCTATGTCGCTGGACTCCCACGTAGTCGACCGCGGTTCGCGTCTCGGACCCGGTGGCTTAAATCTCACGCCGGGCGCGTGTGCGTGTGTGCCCAAGATCCCGAGAGGAGAATGGAGGAGAAGGGATTGCGGCGTGACCATCCCCCCTGGGGGGTGATTTCTCGCTTTCTGTCTCTATGTCTCTGTCTCTCTGGCGAGCGCACACGCCCTATAGTGAAAAAAACCTCTCCAAAAAAAAAAAAGCCTAGTAATTCAGGCCAGCAGGCAGTGCAGCGGTTAAGCACTGTCACTGGGAACCAGATCCCACATAACAAACCACCCTTTGAGTCCCAGCATTAGTGGCTTAAAAAAGGTGCCACATGTGTGCTTGCAAACCCAGATCCTGAGAGGATGAGGAGGGAGGTGAAAGGATTGCAGTGTGACCACACCCCATTTGGGGGTGCTTCATCCCTCTCTCTCTGGGTAGGACACACACCCTGTGGCAATTAATAATAATAATAATAATAAAACCCAGATAATAAAAAGCCTAGTGATTTTTTTTGGGGGGGAGTTTTTTTGGTATAGGGCGTGTGTGCTCGCCAGACAGACAGCGAGAGATAGAAAGCAAGAAATCACCCCCCAGTGGGGATGGCCACGCCGCAATGCCTTCTCCTCCATTCTCCTCTTGGGATCTTGGGCACGCACACACACGCGCCTGGTGTGAGTTTAAGCCACGGGGTCCAGGACACGAACCGCGGTCGACCACATGGGAGTCCAGCAACATAGCCATTATGCTAACTGCTGGCTCCAAAAGCCTAGTGATTTTAAAAAGAGGAAAAGAGAAAGCCCTGGTCTAAGGACAGCCCACGCTGGGGTGTGAGGGTGCCAGGGCGAGAGTTTGGACCGGAAGTTCTTGAGTCTTCTCTGAGTTCAAATAAATCTTGTGACTTTTCTGGGCTACAGCTCGCCCATTCGTGGAATGAGAGGATGTTTTGTGAATTACATCCCTAAGGGTCTTCTGACCTTGGCATGGTAGGACTTTTGAGCTAGGAGGACACTTCATATATGAATACCCCGTCTAGTCAATTCTGAGCACCTGGTCTTTTAATTTATGTCACTTAAAAGGAGCCCCTTCCCCCTAAGCTGATAATTATAAAGGCAAAGAGGATGATTTTACAGCAGAGACTGACAGAGCACCTCATTCAAGGATCAAAACAAACATCAGAAGTAGTGGGCAGATAGGGACCAGCAGTTGGTGTAATGGCTATGTCTCCGGACTCCTATGCAGTCGACCGCAGTTCGCATCCCGGACCTGGTGGCTTATACTCACGCTGGGCGCATGTGCGTGTGTGCCCAAGATCCCGAGAGGAGAATGGAAGAGAAGGGATTGCAGCGCGGCCATCCCCCCCGGTGGGTGATTTCTTGCTTTCTGTCTCTTTGTCTCTGTCTTTCTGGTGAGCGCATGTGCCCTGTAGCAAAAATCTCTCCAAAAAAAAAAGAAGTAGCGGGCAGATGGAAACTGTGTCACCTGGTAGGTTGTAATGAGAGGAACACTCTTCAGCTTCTCCAACTCTCCAACCAGTCCAACTGATGTCTCCAATCTTGAGGTATACAGCCTGGACCCTGTCACACACGCCCTGAGGGACGTTCTACAAAATTGCTGGCACATACTTTTCTCTTTTTTTTCTTTTCTCATGAGAGATTTTTGCTATAGGGCATGTGCACCCTAAGAGACATACAGAAAGCAAGAAATCACTCCCCTAGGAGGGATAGCCATGCCGCAATCCCCTCTCTTCCATTTTCCTCTTGGGATTTTGGGCATCCAGAGGTCAAGCCACTGAGTCTGGGACTTGAACCACAGTTGCCCATGTGGGAGTCCTGCACTTAGCCACTATGCCACCTGTTGGCACCAGGATATAGTTTTCAAAAGTGGCCTGGTCAGCCAACCACAGAGATGTAGTAGTAACACAGCACTATGCAATGTTGAGGCCACATGGGAAGGTCCCCGGTTCACGTCCCAAGGCCTCCCTGTACGGGCAAGGGGCACACGTGCCCATGGTCCCGGCTGGCTGAGGCTGGGAGAGGAATGCAGCCTAAAGACCCTGTTGGGGGTGGAGCCCGTGCTCTGTCACGGAAGAAAAAAAAGCTTAAAAATATCACAGTCAAGAAAAGAAAAAAGATTGAAGAACTATTCCAGACTAAGGAGACTGCAAATATTTGACAAATAAATCCGACACCCGATTCTGACGGGCTGCTTTGCTGTTCAGGACACAGTTGGGGTGGCTGGAAGACTCCAGTGCGTAAGGGCTAGGTGGTGGTGGCACCTCAGTGAGTTTCCTCCCTAATTCCAGTGACTGTGTTGCGGTTATGCAGGATCGTGAGTTCGGGGGTTCTGGGATATTAGCTTGGTAATTTACTTTCAACTCACTTTTAAAAAAAAATCACAGACATTCTTCTTTAAATTTGACCAGAGAGGGACAGAGTGAGAGAGAGAGCAAGAGAGAAAGAAAGTGAGAAAGCAAGCCACCAGGTCCAGGACTCGAACCGTGGTCGGCCATGTGGGAGTCCAGCGCCCCCAGCCACCATGCCACCTGCCAGCCCCTAAATGCAGACATTCTTTATACTATACTTGCAAATCTTCCGTAAGTTTGAATTCGTTTTAAAGTAAAAACATTATACGAAAATGTATACCACTAGTGGAAAAGAATCACATTCATTGCTCCTTGTATTTCATATCGAGAGGAAACCAGAATGTTTTTGCAGATAAGAGAAACAAATGTGAATGAATGGCCAAGCATTCAGCTCTCAGTCATCTGATACTGAGCAAAAACACACGCCGTAAAAGGAAACTTACAGGCTGATACTGTTTGTGTACCTTTTTATTTATTTATTTAGATTTTTGCTATAGGGCACTGTGAGCTTGCCAGAGAGACAGCGAGATAGAAAGCAAGAAATCACCCCCCCCCCCAAAGAGGGATGGCCATGCTGCAGTCCCTTCTCCTCCATGCTCCTCTCAGGATCTTGAGCACACATACACATGCGCCTAGTGTGAATTTTAAGCCACTGGGTCTGGGACTTGAACTGTGGCGAACTACGTAGGATTCCAGCAACGTAACTATTCTGCCATCTGCTGGCCTCCTGCTTGTGTACATTTTAAGGACACAAAGACATATGCTGTTTCTGGACCAATGCATAAAACTTTATTTATTTTTTCTTTTTTTGGAGAGGTTTTTGCTATAGGGCGCGTGCGCTGGCCAGACAGAGAGAGACAGAGAAACAGAAAGCGAGAAATCACCCCCCAGGGGGGATGGTCATGCCGCAATCCCTTCTCCTCCATTCTCCTCTCGGGATCTTGGGCACGCACGCACACGCGCCCGGCGTGAGTTTTTTAAGCCACCGGGTCCAGGACGCGAACCGTGGTCAACTACGTGGGAGTCCAGCGACATAGCCATTACGCTAACTGCTGGTCCCCATGAAACTTTTTAAAAAATGCCTAAGAATACTACATGCCACCCTTACGACAGTGCTTTTTTCTGGGGAGGGAAGCAGGAAGAGAGGGAAGGAGAAAAGAATGGGGAAAAAGAACAGCTTGAACTGTATTTGCAAGTATTTCAGAGCAGGAGAGAGCGAGCAAGCAAATTCATCGTTTCCCCATCAGGCCCTCCTAACCCAGTGTTTGATCATCTCTGGCTTCAGGTCAACATCAGCACCCAGGAGCACTGGGAGGAAATGCTGAGTTCCAAAGGACTAACTGGTAACGTACAAGAAATTTTATATCCATTCTTTGCAAAATTGTTCAATGATGCCTTGAACCATGAAGAGAAGGGCCGTGCTGAGCACCGTTTCCTTGTAACCTCGAGCCTTACAGACAGTCAGGAGAGTTCTTCGTCTCTGTGTGTGGAAATCTGGCTTGAATATCAGTGAATTCATCGCAGGAAACAAGTCAAATAACCCATATAGGGCCCCTGAATGTAACCTAAAAAACTCTTCCGGTAAAGGAGCCGTGTCAAGAAATGGATTTTCGGGGACCAGCAGTTGGTGTAATAACTATGTCACTGGACTCCCACGTAGTCGACCGCGGTTCGCGTCCTGGACCCGGTGGCTTAAACTCACACCGGGCGCGTGTGCATGCGTGCCCAAGATCCCGAGAGGAGAATGGAGGAGAAGAGATTGCGGCATGAACCATCCCCCCTGGGGGATGATTTCTCGCTTTCTGTCTCTCTGTCTCTCTCTGTCTGTCTGGCGAGCGCATGCGCCCTATAGCAAAAAAAAA